GTCTTACCGTGATGTTATATAGCCTATCCTCAATAAATGGGCTATCTAACACTGAAAGAATTTTTCAAATCGGACCAGTAGTTCCTAAGATTAGCGCTTTCAAACAAACAAACTCTTCAGCTTAATAATATTAGTATAGATGTATAGTAAATTGGAGGTTTCTTATCCTCTGTGCATTTTTAAGCCTTTCTTGCAATTGCAATAAAGCTTGCTTACTTCTTACGGCACTTCAGGCGAGATTATAGCGCTTGACCGTTCAACAGATGGCGTGCGTGTAGTTTCAACGTATGAGTTATTCAACAGCTAGTCATGAGGAAATATTGAATACCATTCTATATCGTCTTACCAATCAAGTCCTCAACGCTTTCAATTTTGAACGGAAGATATTTTAAAACGTCTGTAACGGATTGTATATGTTAGCTGGTAGCCTTGAGAAGCTATTCCAGTGTAACCTTAACTAGTAGGTGAGCTCATGGGGCTCAAACCTGACGACGTTGCTAACACGAACCCTAGTAAGAGCCGTGCTTCGCATAATCTACCACCGGATCGGAAACGCGACCCACTGAGAAGATACGGCGAGAAACTCAGTGGGCTGTGTCTGTGGGTTAATTTGCTCGTCGAGCTCTTCGTCGCAAGCGACGGGTTCGACGAGAACGGTGACCGGTGTTTGAAGTACCTGGAAGCACCGTTAGTGGATCGGGAGGATCCGAAATGACGTGTTTTGGGCGACGTCGACTGCTTTCCATTCTTATATGTTAGGAATACCGAATCTGCGAATGAAGCGATCACGCGTTCTGATCTGAAGAGTCATTTTCGCTACTAAATCTTTAGCCTTTCTCACGATAAGTTCAGAATTTACGCTGTGCTGTTAACTTATCATCAGATCAGTCGCAGGTTAATTTATTCTTCAATGCAACCTTAAAAAACGACCTGAGATTTATTTGAATTAACATAAGCTCAATAAAAACTCAGAATTTAGGGAGCTAGTTTGCGTAAATGATCCACAAACGGATTTTTCTTATCACAAAATACCCAATTACGTTTTTAATTACGTGTTAATTAGACAATGATGTAGAGTATTGTAGAGGTTATAACATAAAACTGGGTGCTTCGTGTAATAGATACGTTAAATTTTAAGTAAGACGCATTTCTGAGAATCACCTTCGGAATGCTACAATTAGTTGTCTTTACTGTTTGAAAACAATACAAAGTTAAGCATCATCATCAACATTATCCATTATCATAGCACTCATATTGAAATCTAGACCAAGCAGAATCTAAACCCAATATATTAGAAAACATTGGAAACTTAAAACATCCTAGTAAAATTCGCCAAGAAATTGCTGCACCTTTAGCATTATGATTATTTAAGCAACCATAAGACTTCATAGCTCTTCTTCAACCTCGCGCAAACGAATCATGTAAAATCTCCCACGGAGAAGATAAAATCCACTTTAGAGACTAGGTCCCTCCGAAATAAGTATGTAAGTAAGTATCACATAATTTTAAGGTCGTAACAAAACCTTTCGTTATTCAAACACATGCCAATTTCAACCCGTGACTTAAACACGCTCCGTCTCTTAATAGCCACATTTACGTATCTCCAATCTGATGGCTTTCGTTCGGTTTTCTTCTCAATAATATGTATGAATAAAGCTGTTTTTTCTTTGTAATGTCAATTGGATGGAATTGAAACAGTCGTGAGTTCAAATTCTAATTAACACCTTAGTGTATAGATAAATTGCTTCGATATTGTTATACCTTCGGTTTTCCTATTGGTTAGGCTATACATACATCGTTTTGGTATGTGGTTTATGTCCGTTGGCTGTATGACTATATCGCCTTTGACGGACAAAAAATAAAAAAAAGCTTTTTAATAAATAAAGCCGTTTGTTAATTAATTGTTTCCTCAACAAATTTTCCAAGTAACCAAATATTTCGTGTAAGTGATTGTAATCGTTTTGGTGAAATATCAATTTAAATTATTTATGTGGTGAACCTTTTCTGCATTATGGCTAGATTATATTTTATATTGCTATGTGTATTATTTGTGTTACTAACCAGTTTCCGACATTACAAATACCGTATCTAGAAATCTGAATAACGTTCATTTGCCTGTTACATAGACGCGAATTTCATAACATCAAGAATGTTGTAGGTCGTTTACAAAAATCGGAAATTGCGAAAAGAAAAACTATTACTCAAGGGAAACAAACATTAAAACATCCTTAATACCTGCGACATGCGAAAGCTTAAGAAAAGACGATATTAGTAATTTAGCCTCGCAACAATCATGAAGGGATTCTATCATCCTTCTCAATCTTCATGCCTTTTCATGTTTTAATTTATTATTAAAACTTTTATTTAATCATTTTAAGAACAATTCCGTCTGCGCATGGGCATTCGATATCGTTCAGTTTAGTATTACAATATTTATCAGCAGTGTAACGTTGCATTCAATTCACAGACGGACAAGGTTGTCAAAAGATTGTTTTTTTTTTTTAATTTTTATTTGTTTGCTAATATTTAATAGATAAGTACTCATCATTTATATTTCACGAAGATAGATTCATGCCTTTACCGTTTTCATCGTATCTCTCATATGATATTGTTTCGAGATTAGGGCATTGACCATGCAATTTAATTAATTTAAGCTCTAATTACTGCATGTTGTTGTTATATAGTATTTTCTTTAGTGTTCGTGAGCTATAGACGTAATTTAAACTAATTTGACTTTAAATAAAACAAATTGATCGACTTCAAGACACTTATATGTAGTTCGTTCTGTGTGAAATGAAACAACAAATAATATTTTTTTGTAGAATAATAGACTAATTGTTACAATGTCCAAATAACGACTGGTTACATATTAGTCGTCCTCCATCACGAAATGAAATGTAAGTTATTTAAAATATCTGAAAAAATACATATAATAAATATAACAATAGGAACTGAAAATTTTAGGTAATTACAATAATTGTTAAAAAATGTTGTCACTTGTCGCGACTACGTAATAATCCAATGAGAAATTTACTTTTTTTAATGTAGAGTTTAGGTAATGTAATAATATATATTTTTACAAGTATTACAATAAAATACTCAGTTCATTAACATTACATTATATGCAATAATTTCTGTTAATGACAACCCTATTACCGAATGCATTTTACAACGGACTTCAAGTAGATGTGTTCCTTATCGCTGTGCTATGTTCTCATGATGTTCGAATTACTGCATCACTTACAAAATACCTTGAAGTAATATAAAGCTTTTACTTACTATTCAAAATTGAAGTAACAAGTATCAGAAACTGACGCTTGATAAAAATGTAAAGTGATATTAATGGTAATTTGGTATTTTTGTTTGCATCAAAAGCAAAGTTACCGTGATATGTATGTTTGTAACGGAATCTTTGAACATGATTTTGATCCCCTTCAAAACGTCTGATTAACTCGAAATTTGGTATACTTATTAAGGACCAATGACAATTCAATATTAAAAAAATTGAAGTTCAACTAAAAAATGAAAAATAAATAACAGTTTAAAAAAACTAACAAAATATGCTTTTATAGAAAATCCAACCAAAAAGTAGAAAATAAATTTTACATGCATGGTATCAGTAGTTATAAATATTTTATGAACAGATATGAGTAGAAGGGTTATTTTGATAATATCCTGAAAAGCACACCACGCTTTTTTACAATAAAATGGTTTTTTCTTACACTATTTTTAATTCAAATTTATTAAAATTTATTTTCTATTTTTTTAGTCGGATTTTCTATAACAGCGTATTTTGTTAGTTTTTTTAAATTATTATTTATCTTTCCTACCTATTCTAGTAACCTCGAGGGGTTATTCTAGATTCACCGAGCTAGTAGGTGAGCTCACAGAGCTCAAACCGGGAGTGTTGCTAACAATAGCCAGCGTGGCTCATCAGGGTTATTAGAGACACCGTCGAGCTTCAAATCACAACAGAAGACTCTCCTCATATACTACTTTAAGAAGAGCATATCTGTCTAGCATTTGAGACCTAATATCACGAAATCCTTTAACTTATCATTATTCTTGCCTCTTATCCCGCGTTATGTGGAGTCGGCATCGCATATCCTCGTATAATACTGCATAGGGATGAGTTTTACATCATGCCTATCGCCAAACCTCCTTGAAATCTATCTCCAATGGTATATGCTGGAATTCTGTATTGATCTATCAATTTTGACAGCACATGTTTATTAGTTTTTTTTTAATGCTTAGTTTGGTGGACGAACTCACAGCCCACCTTGTGTTAAATGGTTACTGGAGCTCATAGACATTTACAACGTAAATGCGTCACCCACCTTTAGATGTAAGTTCTAGGGTCTCAGTATGGTTACAACGGCTGCCCCAACCTTCAAGCCGGAACGCATTACTGCTTCACGGCAGAAATAGACGGGGCGGTGGTATCTGCCCGTGCGGACTCACAAGAGGTCCTACCACCAGTAATTACGCAAATTATAATTTTGGGGTTTGATTTTTATTACACGAATAGCTGACCCGGCAGACTTCGCAGTGCCTCAATCGATAAATAAAAGACCTAAACTTTTGTATAAAATAAACTTAAGACAAACAAATGGAATCCGTCCCACGGCGGACACATCAAAGGGAAAACAAATTTATTATTTTTATTTAATTCCGAGCATTTTTATATTTATCTACCTTTTAAACCTTCTCTGGACTTCTACAAATAATTCAGGACCAAAATTAGCCAAATCGGTACAGCCGTTCTCGAGTTTTAGCGAGACTAACGAACAGCAATTCATTTTTATATATATAGAAGAAGAAGAAGAAGAAGATGTTATTCCTTCACCGTGGAAGTCCATCCTGAATACTTGTTAAGTACGCATTTCAACTACATACGAATGCACCGGACGTCTTATCCTTTAGGCCACGACGACTTCAAACTTCGACAGTTTTGGTTATAAAATATATACATTGATGTGGCTATAGAAGCTTAATCTTACCTCTTAAGGTGTTAGCACCGTACAGGGGATGGTCATAGGGCACTGGGCGGTAGGCGGGGTGGAGCGCAGCAAGGTAGCTCAGCTCGCTAGTGGCTCCTGCCGCCGCTGCCGCTGCTGCAGCTAACCTGGTTCACAACAAAAGTTATTCATTAATGAATTTAGTAAGTACTGGTGGTAGGACCTCTTGAGAGTCCGCGCGGGTAGGTACCACCACCCTGCCTATTTCTGCCGTGAAGCAGTAATGCGTTTCGGTTTGAAGGGTGGGGCAGCCGCTGTAACTATACTTGAGACCTTAGAACTTATAACTTAAGGTGGGTGGCGCATTTACGTTGTAGATGTCTATGGGCTCCAGTAACCACTTAACACCAAGAAGGCTGTGAGCTCCTCCACCCATCTAAGCAATAAAAAAAAAGATACTAGCAATTTAATATGTAAATTATATTTTTCATTGTTGGTTTGAAACACAATGACATATTAGGTTAGTTGTTTTTGTCGTATTCTCGGTCCGAATATTTGGCATTTGAACGCGATCCTCAAGGTCTAGCAGTGGGGTTCCATTGGGCGTAAAAAGCAAGGCTTGGCCCCGTGTCGGCGGCATCATCGAACTCTTACAGTCCATAAAAACAAATAAAATCTAAATTTTAGTTTGTATTGTCAAAATACCAACTTTCGAGTCCTTTTTAATTGAATATGCAATTTCGAAAAGGGCACATGTCGCATATTTTTTCAAATACGTTTTTTTCATATACATGTAGTTTTGAGGCTTACCTACACCCATTTTATAATAATTCCAATGATTTTCAATTGCTAATTAACACTAAATTAAATCTCAAAAGTTAAGATTTTAAATTTTACACTGCTTTAGAAAATAATCAGTTTTTTCAGTTCCTGAACATTTTAATGAAATTGCATATTCAATTATAATTTGGGGAAGTATACAATAAAGGGAAGATCTTCCACCGAGCGGGTGTTATTGCTTAGTAGACCGACGGTCCTGATGTTGTTGTTCGGAACTTGTATATATGCAAGCTTATCTTGAAAATGGCGTAAGCGAGATTCAGGCATTTGTCAAATATCTTGTGTTGTATGATGGCTACGCCCACAATAAAATTAGAAACATAGCGTTGTAAAAAAAAACATTTTACTGTGTGTTAATTTACTCTGGCTCTCCGAAACTGCTGTAAAGATTACGACGGACCTTTTACAGGCAAATGCTAATGCTAAAAGCTATTGTTAAAAAGAATAAGTTTGGTTTGAAATTATGAAAATCGGATTCTAATAGGAAGGTTATTGCCAAATCGTGGACGGGCGTAGCTGGTTTTAAATAAGCATCGTATCTTTTCTTCTGAGCTTAACAAGAATCAAAAGATTAAAGCGAACCGTTTGATGTTTGAATCACCTTTTTGGTTTTTTTGCGGAAGGGCATTTTGCAGATTCTCAATTATGGGTATCACTAGCACACTATATGTTTCGGGCGCAAGATAATGACTTGTTCCGGCAGCACAGCTGTTGTGCAATTATTATCTCAAAGTTTTAACGATATTATAATAAGAGTTATATTCGCTTCAGATTATAATATAGTAACTACACTTATCAGCATTTTAATATATTTTTTTCAAAATTATGCATATCTTTAAACAAGGTCAGCGGGTACTTGGGGATATAAAATGCCTTTGCCACCAAAATCGTCAATTCTTATCAACTGTTACATACAATGACTGAAGTTGATAGGTAAAGATGTGGCTTTAACAAAATCGTTGTATATGGCATTAATACAATGTAATACTATGTTTTTCTATTGCCCTTGTAGGCAGACGAGCATACGCCCCACCTGATGGTAAGTGGTTACCGTCGCCCATGGACTTCAGCAATGCCAGGAGCAGAGCCAAGCCGCTGGCTACCGTAAAATTCGGTGAGTTCTAAGTTTGTTATTTCCAATAGCTTCTATAAAAGCATATTTTTTTTCTGATATTGTCATTTGCAGTAGCAATGTATGCGTTAATTATCTTGCCTACGAATAATTCGAAAAGCAAACCCGCAACTAATAAATATTACAGAGAACTAAACAGAGCAAAATCGCAGAACTAACGTAATGAAGCAATAACATTGAATCGCAACGCATAATAAAATTATTAAACAAATCAAGCTTGTAATATAGCGACGAAGGAAATTGTAGGGTGGGCTCAGTGGAATAAAGAAATTATCCGAGTTACCGACCACGGCCGAGCCCAAACAAAGACGTCCCTTTCGGAAAAAGACCAAAAAAAAAACATGGCGGCCAACAAAATAAATAAAGCAAGTGCAAGAACACTCGCGTGCCTTCGCCCTGCGTGACGTAAAATGACCTATCTCTTTCTTCCACACTCGAGCCGAGCTTAATACTCCGAGTGCGAGAGAGATGAATAGAACACAAAGTGTTACCTCGAAGAAGAAAGTTTTTCAAACTGTTCCCTCGATGTGAAACAAGTTTTACAGATTTCGCGAAGACACGCGTTTTGATTTGACGACTTATTTACGTTTTCTTCGACTTCAAGTTGAATGTATTATTTTGTCTTTGAATATATTTATTATACTTTATAAATCGGAAGCATGTTTATACATTCAAGATATTTATAATAACAAAGAAGTATATATAACTATAGGTAATTAAAATATGACCTCAACATTTAACGGTAAGATTTTAAGCTTTTAACTTTAAAAAAGCATATTCAAGTATAAACTAAAACGGATGAAACTTATGATACACCTAATACATATTATTTAGTACACGAATATTTAGCGAATAGAAGTACACTTTATAGTATACTAGTGGTCCCGCAGTAGTCGAAATTCGACTATAATTAATTGGAATTGTAAGTTTGTACACTATTATAATTGTATTTTATACTTCTATAATCACAAATTTCGCCAAGGCTACACTATAAAAAAATATTAATAAAGACAAATAATATTTAATCTATTCTCAATTTGACCACAGACGTCAAGAACAAAAGTTTGACAATAAATAGTATGCAAGCGTGTGTGCGTCAAATACATGGTATGTAGTGTGTGTAATGTTTTCTTTATTGATTTAATGTATCTTTTATGCATTATTTTAAATAAATATTAGCATTGTGCACTTCTTCTCTATATTCTCTATAAGTGTGGAAAATTTCATACTCCTCCGTCCGCGCAATTTTCGTAAAAAGGGATACAAAGTTTTTGCTTCACGTATTAATATATAGATAATTGACACTGTCACAACGGATCTGACGGTCATAGATACGACATTAAAAAGCCGCAATAGAAATTATTTCAAGAATTCGAATGAGCAACAATCACCGTTGCTTACCATCAAGTAAGGAGGGCCATAAGCATTTCTGTCATCAATAAAAAATATAAAAAATCTTTCAAAAGCACCTCATATTCGTGTCTGAGTATAGTTTTGGAACCACACGTAATTACTTAATATTAAACTTATTAGTGTACGAGAAGCGTTATTTGGAATAAAAGTAAACATAATTAATAAGCGTCTTTACTTATAATTAAATGCTCTAGTCATAACTAGAACAGCCGATTTGTATCCGAGTGTTGGAACAATGTCGGAGGTCAACACTTCGGGGCAAATTCCGATTTATCTCAATTTCTAAAACATATTCGTGGACAATTTACATGATGAAGGAATTACATTAAAAATCAAAAGCTTAGAGCGTAATATGACCCCTAATATATGTGCCACAACATTCCTGCCTTTTTCTATATGTGACTACCGTTACACAAAAGAATTGCCACTTTGACTATTATCACTATACTTCCTACTCAGCCAGAAATTTCCTAAGACAATTCGCGATTGATATTCGAATAGTTAGCTTTCACCTTATATAAATAAATACTAACTTAAAATCAATATAAAACTCACTACCGTCTAAGTTACCGTGCAAGCAACTCAATCATTGCTTTATGAATGTTTCATGAAAAACCAGTTAGCAATTACGTTGGCTTGTGACCACAAACGATCCTCGCAGATTACGTCTTTTTGCTGAATGACCAATTAGGTATTAGTGACTGCCACATACGGTTTGTCGTTGAATTGGTATTTTTTTTTGTAATTCGTTCTAGATTAAACATTTGAGGTTTGTGTCAGTCAGCGGGGCTTTTTACGCTTTTATTGCCATAGTGGTTGGATTGACTGGAGCGTAAATATGTTACAAAGGGAATTTCGCGAACTATCTTGAGACTTGAGGCCGAAGTTTTAACCTCAATTGTATCGTCCGCTATCCCACTGTTCGAACAGGAATGTCTGAAGTACCAACCTGGGTTTGTTCACAATAGAATGCTGAAGAAATTTGTATTTTTTTTGTCGTAGATTAAGCAAGTCATAGTGCAGCACAGAGACATTTTAGTAATAATCAATATATGCAATTAAAAAAATTGAAAAACACGCTTATACATATCAAACCGAACTAACAAATGATTTCAACTGTTTTTATTGTATTGATTGATACTGGTCAAGATACCCGAGGAAAAGTCATAAAATTATTGTACGTCATTGATCCTTGATGCGTGTGCAATGTTTTCTCTAGTTCTAGTTACTCGTGCGTTTTGAAGTCGACGAGAATGACGTAAAGCTTTAAAGCTTCCGTTGCAGACATACAAGCATACACAAAACTCCACAGACACAAGCCACTAAGTTTTTCCCCGGATCCTATTAGTAGGCCGATTTCCGATCCGGTGCAAAGCATTGTTTTTGCTAGGGCTGTTGTTAGCAACATCATCAGGTTAGAGCCCCGTGAGCTCACCTACTTGTCAGGTTACGCAGATATAACCCGCAGATAGAAACAAAAGACTAATAAAAGCGCACCAAGAACAAACTATGAGTAAATTAGCCCATAGACACAGCTCACTGAATTTCTCGACGGATCTCCTCAGTGGGTCACGTTTCCGATCCGATCGTAGATTCTGCGAAGCACTGCTCATACTAGAGCCAGTGTTAGCAACACTCCCGGTTTGAGCCCCGCGAGCTCACCTACTAGTTCGGTGAATCTAGAATAAACCCCCGAGGTTACTAGAATAGGTAGGAAAAAAAAAGAACAAACATGTATCGTGCTCACTCTGCAGATCATTGTTCGAAAAGTCGGAATGTAAA